GGTGGGCCACGACCGCATTCATTAGTCCCTGACCCTGATGATTATGTGTTATCTGATACGCTGCTATCTGGCTTGGCGGTGTGAGCCGGGCCACTGGCCTGCATTGGCCTGGGCCCATTATAACCCCTCTTTTTCCCTTCCCTCCGTTTTTCCCTCGCTCTCCCCTTCGATCCCTCTACCCTCTGTCTGAGCTCCCTATGAATGTATCCATTAGCCCGCTGATGTGTAAATTGTTTTCACCTGCACCGTGAGCAGATGGAGAGCAGTGTCTCTGTCGTGATTTCCTATGCATGAGCTTTCTAATCAGTCGGAGAGTAACACGATTCCCTCGCTCATTGCCAGAAATGGTGAACTTGTGCAAGTGCGCGCGAATACATTACATGCACACATGCAGGCACACATGTTCTCAGAATCCCAATGTGTAATCCATATTCACGGGGTGTTGTGGGGATACTACTGCAGTGTTAGTGGTGACAGGGTTCATTACAGGGCCTGGCCACATGACACCGTGCTAACTAGACACTACTCCGCTAATATCAACCCCATAATTCTCTCAAAATCTGAAAAAATATCAACTGTGACCTGAAAAACAGAAACTATCAAACACGAAGACAAAAATATCACATATGCAAATAAAATGTATATTTCACGATGCCTTAATGCCTCTAAACCAGGGGTGTCAAACTCCTGATGTCAAGCGGGCTGGACCAGTAAATCATATAAGTCTCTCTTTTTCCCTTCATTTTCAAAATTCATCAAGAGGGCCGGATTGAAACCCCAAGCAGTTTAGCGATTTTAGTTTATTAAAACCATTAGAACTACCAAGACACGCTATGCGACGTCATGGTACGACGTCAAATTTTGTGTGAGCACATTGATCGGTGACCATTCACTGAATCGCAGGTTATGACGTATTATATATTAAAATATATATAATACCACGTTTGTTATTTTCACACTGACAGCCGCTAGAGGGCACTGCTGCGACTTATACTCTGGTGCGACTTATAGTCCGGAAAATACGGTAACCCTCCTTGGAATTGACGGTCCAAAGGAGTAACACTGCAATGGTAACATTTTTTTTTAGACAAAAGGGAAGTTACTATTCATTATTACTATTGTTATAACACACCAACAACTGCATATACGAGCCAACATACAGTAAATATATGTCATATTTACACTTATCATCCTACAGACATATTTACAGTTTTAACTGCACCAGATTCTCTCGTCTGCCGGATACCTCAGCCAATTAGCCAATGAATGAACCCACAGAAGGTTGAAAGGTTTGGCACTTTTTATATACGGTGCACTCTGGAAATAAACATGTGTCAAACCTTAATTTGCATTTTCACCGTGAGTCATCTGCATTCTGGGAAAACAACAGCCTTTGTATAAACGGAAGCAGAACAGCACGCTAAATGTCCTAATAAATGTCACTGTTCTTCATCACGTTACAGTAAATGCTATTCAGACTGACAATATAAAAAAAAAAAACAACACAATTTCTACCCAAGATTATCCTGAATTTGGCATCACAGGAATTACGCAAGTCTCATCTTGGTTGAAAAACAAACAAACAAACAAACAATCAACTGCATTAATCCCTGTGACAGCATCTGTATGTGAGCGTAAAAGAAGAAGGAAGACGTTAAGGCCGCGAAGAAGAGCCACAAAAGACATAAATCCAACAGCATGGAGATGAGCCAAATGTTCCACATCTGACAAAAGGATTGTGAAAAAGAGAGGGCGTGTGGAAGACAATTTGGGATTTGCAAAGCTGTTTATCAAATTATTAACTGCACAGCTGTTTCTGACTTAGCTGGGGGGCCAACATGGACTCTGCCAGGCAGAGGAACAAAGGTCTAGGGCGTTCAATGGAGATGTGCGCTGAATATCAATTTAATTTACTAGCTGTTAATTCTCATGCAAATCATGACCCCTGTTAGGGCACGTCGATGGCTGCAGACATTGTACGAACAGGAAAGAAAGGAAAAGAACCGGAGAAACAATTGCAAAGAAATGAAAATGTCAGTGAAGAAATATTGACTTTTGATTTTTTTTTTCTAAAAGAAAACCACCACGTATTTGTTATTAAAGATATTATTTTACCAGTTTTTCTTATGAGACTCTAGATTCTGAGACTATACAGGTTTTTTTGCCCTTTTCAAACATTCATACATAAATGCATTGTTTCCCAAACACTGGGTCGAGACCCTCAGGTGGGTCGCAAGATTTTTTTTTTTTGGGTCGTCTCACATCACGTTTCCCAGGAGTCCACGTTCATCGCAACAGCTGTCTGTATCCAACCTCAAAACAGCTCCACCTGTGGTTAGGTTTAAAACTGTTTTTCTTATGAGACTCTCTTCTGAGACTATACAGTTTTTTTGCCCTTTTCAAATACATGAATGCATTGTTTCCAAAACACTGGGTCGAGACCCTCAGGTGGGATTTTTTTTTTTTGGGTCGTCTCACATCATGTTTCCCAGGAGTCCACGTTCATCGCAACAGCTGTCTGCCTCCAAGTCTGTATCCAACCTCAAAACAGCTCCACCTGTGGTTAGGTTTAAAACTTGAGTAATACTAATTGTTCAGATATCACTCAGTCAACAATGAAATATCCTCCTTAGTGTTCGATAAAGGTCAAGTTCACCTTTATTTTGTGATTTACGAATAATGTCTATTGACTTGGGTCGCGAAGGTTTGTGACTTTTAAAATATGGTTGCCAGAAAAAAAAGTTTGGGAAACGTTGCATTTATGTGCGTAACTTCTACTGCTGATTTGGCTGAAGACAAACCCAGTAGTCAGGAGATGAGGGTGGGGTACTCCCGGCTCACTCGTACATCCCTGGGCCACGTGTTGAGAAACACAACCATCCACGCTCACATTCACGCCTACGGTCAATTTGGTCAAGAACAACCACAAACACTGGATGAGTAGTGAACTCTATACTGTACATATTTCTGGCCACACTTTTCAAACATGATGGTTTCATTAACCGACAAAAATTACCCTTCATTAAGTCTGAATGAGTCGGCACTTTTTGGAGAGCAGTTTACCAACTTTGTGGTCTTGTGATCATAGTTCTTCATCAGTTCCGGAAGAACTCTATCCTTCTATCATCTCTATCCATCCTCAGAATGTTCCAGTATCAGATGTGCTGAATTGGTGACTGAGTGCAGTTTTTGGGACAATTTAAAAAAAAATTCCTAATTACTTTTAGTTAGGAATAAAATGTTGAGCTGAAGAAGACAAGAAAATAAGAATCAGCAAATGACCCTTAACAAAAAATAAAAAAAAAATTGGAATTAGCCCAAAACTTTGCAGTCGGTGCATCATTACTATTAAGTAACAATTTGTTTTCATAACTTCAGTTAAAGTGTCTTTACTCTAAATTCAGTGAATTATTATCTTATTTCGTCAATAATTACTTTTGTGTCTGAGCGACCGCGTCGGGAAACACTAGCCTACTAACAGGAAGTTGTCTCAACGGAGAACCACCGGCGTCACCATGGTGATGGATTCAGGGTGTGAAATCAATCAGACTGATAACAACGGCGTTACAAGTGTCATTTTCTTCCTCACCTCCAGAGGACAGCCCTCTCAACGCGCCACATCACAAACAAAGAGGCTGGCAAAAATATCAATTATACATGCATGAAACTAACAAGGGTATTTAGTCGACGGCAGAGTGGCCTCGTAGAACAACACTAAATAGAGTGAATTTGCATGAGAAAAGAAGAACAAAACTCCCAAGTTCAATAGCTGAAGAGCAATTGGATGACACTGAAATTGGAGGAAATTGCTGGATCGGGGGTTTTGTGTGTTGGAGAAGGGCCTGTTTCTAAAAAAAAAAAAAAAAAATCTCACGGAGAACGAACGCTGCATCTGGTGGTGGGGCTTTGACGAAATGGCACAGTGCAGCCGTCGAAACATGACATTATGACGGATGTCAGTGGTGAACTTTGATAATGACAAGACAAGATCGGAGGAACAGGAGACATCAACCTGGACGTGATAAGGACCGTGAGGATTTATGGTCACACAAAAAAAAAAATTGGTATTTAATCCACTAAGATAAATGAGATGTCATTGTCTTTTTTTATGGCCATCTATTGGGGGTAAATGTTGGCATTGCAGGGAAAAGACAGAAGTATAATGATAATAATATAAAGTAATAATCTAATTTGGACAAGTTAAGCAGGCTATATTAAAAAAAGCTAAATGGGCCGCATCCGGTCCCCGGGCCGTAGTTTGCCCATGTTCTAGCAGCTATTATAACAAACACAACTGTTGGAAAGCCGTTGAAAGAAGCATAAGTTAATATTTTTTCTTCTTCTTCTTCTTTGAGCTTCTCGTCAGTTTAATCGATTGTCTGATTAAAATTAAAAAACTGCGTTTTCACAGTTACTCACTGCGAACCATCTTCAGATCTTTTCTTCTTCTTTTCCAGGTTCGTCCGGTTTTTCCTCCAACATCTGTGGTTCATATGTAGCCGCCGTCTCTCTCTCTCTCTCTCTCTCTCTCTCTCTCTTTTAGCACAAGTCAAAACATTCACAACTTTATCTCCGAACTTCTTCTGATGACGCGTTACTGTATAATCGAACTGTCAGTGATTGAGTGTTTACATTTAAATGAATGGACGAATACACATAAATGAAATGCTAACGCCATATACAAGCCGAACTCGGGGCTCTGAGATCTACGCACTCAGGCCAATTAATGGAGCCCAGAGCACAACCCCGACTCGATGAAGCAACTTCATACCGTTGATTTTAATCTATTATTAATATTATATTATCGTATTATATTAATATTATTTTTCCTCCGATTAATTACATCCTCATTCCACAACAGTTTCACTTTTTTCCCTCAATCTACCATCAGTCAAACACGCCTCCAAATGAAAAAAAAAAAAAAAAAGGGAGAGCGTGAACGCAGCACGTGCTGTCAATGTTTATCAGCAGGGATTTGTGGGTAGCGGTGTTCATGGAAACCCGTGTAAACAGCTCTCACCCAGCAGCCTGTTTCTCCCCCCTCCCTCCCCCCTCTCTCCCTCCTCCATCTCCTCCCGGTTCTCCCCTTTCTACTGCTCCTCAGCAGCGCCAAGGCGGGCTAACCTAGCAACCATGGCTGCTACTGACAACTACTACGACAAGATCACCGCGATTCAGCAAAGCCTACACGAAAGGTACTTTTTACGATTTTTTTTATTTTTTAAATAACCCCGGTGGAAACTGCGGTCTCCTGTTGTGCTCTGTGCCCCCGGTAGAGCAGCCTTCCTACCGAGGCTTCGTACAGACGATACGGACGACTAGCACCGGAGCTAACAGAGGCGAAGCTGCTAGACTCTAGTCTGATTGAATTGTACTTATGTTACTGGCTGATGTAAAAAAATATTGGTAATATTGGAAAATATTAGTCAGAATTTTGACGATTTTTTTTGGCAGTAGTTTTATGTCACAGGGTATTCGCTGTTATACCGTAACTACGTTGTTATTGAGCTGTACTTTTAAAGTACAGATACGGACGACTAGCACTGGAGCTAACGGAGGCGAAGCTTCTAGACTATATTGAACTACTACTACTACTGATTGAAGCGGTTCTGTATTTATGTTGGCTGATGACTTGACTGGCTGATGTAAAAAAAAAATTAATAATATTGGAAAATATTAGTCAGAAGTTTGACGAGTTTTTTTTTTTGGGTAGTAGTTTTATGTCACAGGGTATTTGATGTTATACCGTAACTACATTGTTATTGAGCTGTACTTTTAAAGTACACGCTGTGAATGAGTGTATGGATAAATCACAGTAATATGACTAATATATTTGATGAAGATGGTACTGCGTGTGTGTTCAGGGAGAAACGGAGACTGGAGCTGGAGAGAGATCTGTTCGCGTACTACCGTTCGGATAAAACAATGTAAGTCGAATCATTTCTATACTTATTATTATTTATTATTATTATGATTATTGAATTCGTAGGAAACGTGTTGTCATCGTTTGGAATTTAACCAGTGTTCATACTGACCTTTGGTGAAACAATCGATACCTAATCTACAATCAATCAATCAGTCGTTTTTCAGTTACTTTCATAAATATAGTAAATGTTTATAATTTAAGTTTTTTTTATTTCTTTTTAAAAATAGTTTTACTTAATTTGATTGTTCATTTATAATTACTTATTTGTACATGTTATTTTTTTTTGCATTGGCTCACCAGTATAAAAACAATGGCTTTTATTTAATTTTGTTTTTAACTTTCTTTACTTGAATTCTATATCTAAACACTGTATAAAATTCTAAGCCAGATGTTTATTTTGAAGGAAAAACACAATTACCCAACGACAGGTCAATAATTGAAACTGAAGCTGACGAATAACTGAAGCTCGAGTTTGTAATTTAACATGAACTTGAACAATTAAAAAAAAACTGACCTGGAAGAATCAACTAAATCAAACCTTTTTTTAATTATTGGGTTTAAAGACATCAGAGAAACATTTTTGTTTTCCTTGCTCTTATTTTATTCTAAAATTGCTGGACTGGATCATGAAATTTTTTGGCTGTACTTAATATTGTCGTACTCAGGTGGACAGCAATGACACTATTTTTTGTCAAATTACAAATAGACACTTATGCTGAAGTAAATGTTTTACAATAGTGGTGAAAAAAAAACCAAGTGCACCTTTGTAGAGCAGTATTTCATGAATTTTAAATCCATTGTTGTAAAAGTTAACATTTCAGGTGACAACACCAAAGCCTGTGTGGATTTGAAAGCAGGAATTCAGATTGAAATTTAAAAATATATAGTGCTTAACCCTTTCCTGTGAGAGGTCAAGCTCGTTTTTTTTTTTTTTTACTAAGCTCTGAGACAATGTTCCTTTTGAGTAATATTTTCACGCTGCCTTCAGCCTACAGATAAAGTCTTCCAAACTACGCAGTTATCTCAAGGAAATCTCTAACAGGGAAGCAAGAGCAAAAATGAGAAACCTTGAGCTTCTGAGAGATGTGGAGTACATGGAGAATCGCATGAGAGAATATCATCTTGACCATGGCAGCCTGCAACAGCAAAAGGTATAAACCTTTAAATCTGTTCACTCAAGTAGTTTTTTTTTTCTTCCTCTCGTTTAGTTTTCCTGTTCTGATCATCAGACCTGTTTATAACCAGGACGATAAACACAACAAACTAGTAATTTTGTTTGGTTTGTCAGTGGAAAATTTGAATGAATCATCTGAACACACATTTGGTCCAAACAACTTATCGTTCCCTGACATTACAATAGTTAAAAAGACTTGACTTGGTCTGTTGTAGATGTGTCAGGAATTGGTTAAGAAATGAAAACAATACACGACAATTTGCACCGATTGAATTACACGTCAAAAAAGTCACTGGTCATACCGTGACACTACACACTCCAGTCCAGTAGGTGGCAGAACGTGTCTAAAAACGTTGGTAGTGACCCACTATTAAACCCAGTCGTCAGATCTCTAGGTAGACTAAGAGACGTTCAGGTGTTGGAACAGAACGTGGGAAGAACTTGTTCCACAGACACCAACAGTGTTCTCCAGTGGAACT